AACCTTGGGGTACCCCACTGACACCCCTAGACCATTCAGAGTATGAATCATTAACCACTACTCCTTGAATACGATCTTTTAGCCAGTTTTCTAACCATTTATATTTGGATTTTTCCAGCCCGTAGACTTTACCTTACACATTAGCCGTGTGTGGGGAACTGTGCCAAATGCTTTTGCAAAATCCAAGTATACCACGTCCACCGTCACCCCTCTGTCCAAGTATACCACGTCCAAGCCAACCCTCTGTCCAAGTATGGCACGTTCACAGCCCTCCCTCTGTCCAAGTATACCACATCCACCACCACCCCTCTGTCCAAGTATACCATGTCCACCGCCACCCCTCTGTCCAAGTATACATGTCCACCGCCACCCCTCTGTCCAAGTATGGCACGTCCACAGCCCCCCCTCTGTCCAGGTTTACCACGTCCACCGCCACCCCTCTGTCCAAGTATACCACATCCGCCGCCCCCCATGTCCAAGTATACCACATCTACCGCCACCCCTCTGTCCAAATATACCACATCCACCGCCACCCCTCTGTCCAAGTATGCCACATCCACCGCCACCCCTCTGTCCAAGTATGCCACATCCACCACCACCCCTCTGTCCAAGTATACCACATCCACCCCCACCTCTCTGTCCAAGTATGCCACATCCACCGCCACTCCTCTGTCCAAGTATACCACATCCACCCCCCACCTCTCTGTCCAAGTATGCCACATCCACCGCCACTCCCTCTGTCCAAGTATACCACATCCACCGCCACCCCTCTGTCCAAGTATACCACATCCACCCCCACCTCTCTGTCCAAGTATGTCCACATCCACCGCCACTCCTCTGTCCAAGTATACCACATCCACCCCCACCTCTCTGTCCAAGAATGCCACATCCACCCCCACCTCTCTGTCCAAGTATACCACGTCCACCGCCACCTCTCTGTCCAAGTATGGCACATCCACCGCCACCCCTCTGTCCAAGTATACCACATCAACCACCACCCCTCTGTCCAAGTATGCCACGTCCACAGCCCCCCCATGTCCAAGTTTATCACGGCCACAGCCACTCCTCGGTCTAAGTATATCCACAGTCACCCCATTGATATTCAATACATATATATAGTATTTCAAATATATGGCAATATATTTGGGAAGAATATTTTTAAAATATGTTTAAAATATATTTTTCTTCCATGTGGGATGTAACTTGCTACAAAAGGTGAACATATCCTTTAGGTATATTTGAGTTCTAGATAACACTAAAGCCTCTCTTGTTAAATGCAGACATAATTTCTACAAATATGGAAACCAATGTAGTCAATCTCTTGCTGCTGTGCTTAGACAGCGGAAATCCAAAACATATCTACCGATAGTACGCCACTAGTGTAACCCACCTGTTCATGCCATCTGAGATAGCGTAAGCATTTGGGGAGTATTTTTCTTCCTTATACGTTTCACCCCAGCCCATACCAAATATATGTGCTTGGTCATATACTCAGAGAGAGGATTCTGGATTATGGTTGGAGCTCCAGAATGCCTTCTGGAAACAATCTATAGCCTTGCAAAACCAATATATTCTCTGGATTTTTCCCAGTTCATCAAAACTGGCAAAGCCACGGACTCAGATGGCTTCTCCCTGGCCTAGTAAAAGTGCTTTCAGGAAAAGACCTGCTCAATACCCTATCTCAAAAACACACTGTACACCCAGAAACATTAACAGCCAGGGGCGGACTGACCATTCGAGCACTTGGGCACTGCCCGAGGGCCCGGGGTCAGTAGGGGGCCCCATGAAATGCCCCTGATACCTTTTATAGGCTTTTTTGGGTGTGCTTTGAGTGTGGGCAAGGACATAGGGGCCCCATGATTCTCTATTGCCTGGGGGCCCCATGAGTTGTCAATCCGCTCCTGTTAACAGCCCATGTCTCAGTGATCACCAAAGAAAGGAAGGATCCCACTTGATGCACCAACTAAAGGCCTATTTCTCTGCTCAAGCTTGGTCCAAAACTATTCACTATAATCTTAACTACCCATCTGATTTCTTATCTTAATAATGTTATTTATTATGACCGAGTGGGCTTTATGCCAGACAGAGAGGCAGGTGATGGTAAGATCCGAAGACTTAGGCTCCATGCACACGGGATGTTTCTGAAAGATGGAAACTGACTGCTGGAAAACATAGGTTAAAAAAATGTTTTTTTAGCTGCGTTTGCATAATGCGTTTATGTGCATTTGCGTTTAGAAGCGTTTTTTAAAAAGATAAGCACAGGAGAACCTCCAAAATCCCCAGAATGCACTGAAAAGCGGTAAATTATTAACTATTTCATACTGTGTCAGAGAGATACAGAGAGTAGAAGCAGATACAGCAGTATGTGTTGAGATTTGCTTAGGTGTGAGTTGCTCATTAACATTTCTTTTGTTTCCAAGGGTGGGAAAGGAGTCTGGTAGAGGGAGTCATTAAGGTCACCTGGCAAGGGGTCTTTGTAACGTACATATGACATAAAGTTAGATCTGAGTAGATAAGATGTGATCAGTAGCAATATGTAATCGTAACCGTAGTTGCATTCCATTGTTATTAAAGATGTATTCAGTCATAGGTACTCAGACAGATGCTCATCAATTAGCTCATCAATTAGCTTCTCAATTAGCTCATCAATTAGCTTCTGAAAAGCATAGCTTCCTCTGGATGTGACACCTAAGTGCTAATAAGGTTTTGTCACCTTCTGGGGAAATGGTTCCAGACATTTTGGCTTCATGACAGCAGGGGGGTCTCCGATCTGTCTGGGGAGCTAAAAGTATATCCATACATCAAAGAGGTATGTTTCACCTCTCATAAAAAACTAAAATATTAGTTGCAGAGAGATGGAAATACTTCCTTCTAATAGTGCACGCTGTGCACCACACCGACGTATGAAAACCATATTTGTGGCTTAGGTAGAAGGCCAGGAAAATGCAGGAAATGGTTAGGTGGTGCTGGAGTGTGACAGTTGAACAGTGTTTGGTACTGTAGCAATCGGACTGATGCGCTGGTGTCGGAAATCCAATCCCTGACTTGGTGTTTCAAGCCGGTCTTGGCCCGATTGAACTTGGGCAGGTCAGCACCCAGAACATCCTGTGGGCAGGTACAGGAACACCCCCCCAGGGTCAATTGTCCGAGGACTAATTTACCCGCCTACGTCAATATCCCCATAAATGGAGTACCCGGACATTGGGACGTTGTAATTCGTATGGAGCCGGTTGATCGACCAACAGATTGCTGATTTTTCTGACTTGCTCTAGTCGAAGGGTAAATCCTGGTAAAGTTTTACTTCTGTCTTTTATTCCCTGTTATTTTATAGTGAATAGTCATTTGTGTGTCTTCTTGTATTTTTTATATTTGTGTAACTTTTTGTATTTTGTACATATTTTAGTCACTGCCCACTTTCGGGAAATTAAATCTTAAAATTAATTAGTGACTTCTGTATACTTAAGAGATTAGATTGGAGAGATTAGATTGTATTGTATTTTAGTGCCTTTAAACACTCGGTCAAGCTCATTGCCAATCTGTATGCAATTGCACTGCGTGTGGGCAGATTGCGTGCAGATTGTAAAGGTAACAGATTGGCCAGATGGAGATCTGTGTGTGTGTGGGGTGTCTCAGCAGACCGTTCAGCGGATAAACTGCTGGGTGGTGGCAGGCTACCTTTTGTGGTGTGTCTGGTGTGGGGGTGTGTGGACAGTGGAAGGGTGATTAACACCGGGGTTCAAGCTGTAGGATAGCTGGAGGGACTCTAGAAGGGTGTGTGATTACTAAGCTGCTCCTCAACTCTAATCAGTGCACCAGATTGTATATAAGATTTGTATCTGCCAGTGTGTGTGTTCGACCAGCTGGATTGGAGCGGAGTCTCCCTCTGGTGGTGGCCAAAAGGTAGTGCGGGCTGTGGAAGTATATCACGGCTGATCTTATATACGGGTTTATATATTCAAAGTTAAGTCCCCTTTATTCCCTCTTACCCCAAGTCACGGCCGCATGTGCGCGCCTTTGTTAGCTAGTCGCTGTGGGCGTGTGCGTGTGGGGGATCCGTGACAGTCTTCATGAGGAATTTGAGGTGTGAATAGTCATTAACATATCTTTTGTTTCCAAGGGTAGGAGAGGTCTGAGGTGTGAATTGTTCATTACAATGTGTGACAAGCTTGGTAGGAATATCCTGTGTTCAGTGTTTTGTCCATCTGAGCACCTTGAAAACACTTTGCATGCATTTTTCATGATGAAAAAAGGTTCTGGACAGCATCGTGAACTGGAAGAGTTAAAAAAGAAGGCCTTTGACAGCGTGAATTTGTCGTTCATTAGGGTCACACTGGAAGACATAGTGTCACGTACCTGATTGGAGAATGAAATGACGAGGTCGGCCTCATTTGTGTCCCTAGCCCTGACCCTGCTGGAAGTGGAACAGAGAGTGCCGAGGGACCAGGAGAACAAAAGTGCCAGCAGGTGTCTGAAGAGCTTGCAGTTGGAGTCCTGAAGAGATTGGCGAACCATCGGTTCAGGAAGGGTAGTGATGTTTCGGAATCCCACCTGGGTTAAAAGGGGACTCCGCTTGCACAACAGGATCAGGATAAGTGATGTGTCAGATCTCCCAGCTGCCTTGAAGCAAGAACAGTTTATGGTGTGCAGAGCTGGTATAATAGAAGCCAGGTGGGCACTTGAGCAGGGCAGGAAGCTGGGATTGGAGACAAGAGCAATGTCACAGGGATAGCCAAGGTCATCAATAGGCGGACAGCGAGGTACAAAATCATCAAGCAAGCTGAAGTCAGGAACGAGCATCAATGCAAGAGTGGAATCCAAAGTCAGGTCAGGAACAAGCCGGGTCAGCAACAAGGCAGGAGTGGAATTTGAAGTCAGGTCAGGAACAAGCCGGGTCAGCAACAAGGCAGGAGCGGAATCCGAAGTCAGCTCAGGAACAAGCTGGGTCAGCAACAAGGAGATCATACAGGGACACAGCAGGACACAGGGAAACAGCTGAAGACCAGTCAGCACTAAGCACAGGCAGAAGCATCCTTTAAATAGTCCATCTGGTGCCAATATTCACTGGGCGTGTGCACGTGCTTGTGCGTGGTTGCGCATTTCTGTGCGGAGATTGCTGTGCACATGTGCATTTCTATTAGCCAATTGTCTCACAGGAATTCCCTTACACATAGGCCATAGTCCTACTATGAGAATGTGGACTGAGTCACAGCACAGGTTCTGATGGATTGCTCTTGTCTCCTTTCCCTCTTACACATGCTACAAGACACGGTTGTGGCTTTTCACCCCTCAATTTCCTTTTAATGTGTGAACCATTTCTACACTATGGTAGGAACAAGCAGAACATTCATAATATCTTGGCTGGGCATAAATACCATAAGGTCAGATGATCTGCTCTTTTTTAGCAGTTAACTGGATGTCACCATTCCCAACTTGATGGCTGAATTTAGATGTTATGGTGAATTATCTAATTTTCAAATAAATGATCAGAAGTCTGAGGCACTCAGCTTGAACCTGTCGGAGGTCATGCTACAGAGACTCAAATCCTTTGCTTTTACGTGACCATCTTCCAGAGGATGGGCGAGGCTCTAGAGAAGTCCTGGAGGTGAGTGTGAGAGGAGGTAACTGGAGAGCAGGAGGTCTTGGGAGGAGAGGACAATATTTGCAGGTGAGGTTGGTGATGTAGCTGAGGGCGATGTTGTGGATGGCCTTGCATGTTGTGGTTAGTATTTTAAATTTATATGTTGGGCTAGTTGAAGCCAGTGAAGAGATAGGCAGAGGGGCAGTAGTCATGGATTGGTTAGTAAGGTGCATTAGTCTGGCAGCAGCATTCATAACAGACTGAAGGATAGCCAGTATAAGGGTAGGCCAGTGAGCAGGGAGTTGTAGTCAAGTTGGGAAATAATCAAGGAGTAATTAAGCTGTTGTGTGGTGTCTTTAGTCAGGAAGGGGCGAATTCTAGAAATGTTCCCATGTTTGAGGCGGCAAAATTTAGCCAGATATTGGATGTGGGGGCTGAAGGAGAGGTTAGAGTCTAAGATTACACTTAGCACCATTAGGATTACACCTAGCATGTGTGGAGGGACCATTGGTTGTGCCATTGAACTAAATGGTAAAGTCATGGGGAGGGGATACAGAAGGAGGAACTATTACAAGCTCAGTTTTAGAAAGATTGAGTTTGAGGTAGTGGTGTGACATCCATACTGATATGTCAATTTGTAAATTTGTGATCTGTAAGGGGATTGAGGGGGTGAATTGAGAAGTTGAGAGATAGATCTGGGTGTCATCAGCATGAGGATGGCATTGGAAGCCATGGGAGGTTATCAACTTGCCTATGGAAGAGATATAGTGAGAGAAGAGGAGGAGCCCAAGGACGGAGCCTTGGGGGACCCCAACAGAAAGAGAAAGAGGAGCAGAGTAGATGGTATTGTATGTGACACTAAAAGTGCACTGAGATAGGTACCAGAATAACCAGGAAAGAGCAGAGTCATGGAGGCCAAGGGAGTGGAGTTTGTTGAGAACGAATGAGTGGTCAACTGTGTCAAAAGCAGCAGAAAGGTCTAAGAGTATGATTTGGAGTACTGGCCTTTGGTTTTAGCAGTTAGGAGGTCATTAGTGAGTTTTAATAGCGCATTTTTAATGGAACGTTGTGGGAGGAAGCAGAACTGTAGGGGATTGAGAGGGTTGTTGTCAAGGAGGTAGCAACTCATACCATTGTGGATAAAGCATTCAAGAAGCTTGGATGCAAATGGGAGCAGGTAGCTGGGTCTTAGGTTATTCAAACAGGTGGGGTCCAGTGAGGATTTTTTAAGTATGGGGGTGGCCAGTAAATGTTTGCTCATGGAGGCAAACATGCTTAAAGAGAGGGAAAGGTTGAAGATGTGGGTTTTAGAGTTTATCATGGAGCAGGAAGGTGGTCATAGTAATTGCGAGAGGCCAGGTCCAGGGGAAAGGTGGTGAGGTGGACAGAGGAAAGGAGATTGGCAACTTCCTCAGTGGTAACAGGGTTGAAGGAGGAAAGTGTTGAGTGTGGTTGGACTTGGTGTGTTGATTAGGGGAAAAAGCTGGATGTTGGCTATCTTATGGCGAATTGTGTTGATTTTGTTTTTGAAATGATTGGCAATATCCTGGGCAGTAAGCTAGTTGGTGGCTGGAGGCAGTGTGGGGTGAAGTAAGGAATTAAAGGTAGAAAAGAGTTGACAGGATTTGGATGAGAGGGTTTTGGTGAGACTCGTGTAGTAGGTTTGTTTAGCAGTATGGAGGCAGGAGCTGTATTTGAGAAGGAGGGATTTGTAGAGGGTGAAGTCTTTCAGGGATTTGGTTTTACTCCATACTCGCTCAAAAGCACGGCTGTATCTCTTGCGACTTCTAGTGTCATCTATTTGCCAGGGTTGTGACAGGTGAGGCCTATTTGAAAAAGTGCCAATTTTCAGGAGAAAACCTATATTTTTGACTTTTTGCTATAAAACATGTCCAGTAAAAAAATTTAAAAAAATCTAATTTTGTCACAAATTTAGGTCAATATGTATTCGGCTCCGTGTATTTTCTAAAAAAAAATCCCAAAGTGTAAATTAATTGGTATACATGAAAGTTATATTGTCTACAAATGGCGGGATATATACTGGATTTTTTTTTTTACTAGTAATGGCAGCGATCAGTGACTTATAGTGGGACTGCGCCGGGCATTCTGACACTGGGGGGGAGACTTGGTGTCACTGACATCCCCAGTGACACCAATATAGTGATCAGTGCTAATAAAAAGCACCTTTAATAGAATAGTTATTTGTGAGAGCCACCAGGAGTTAACTTACTCTATTATTAGTGTTAATTGTGTGCTTAAGTGAATATTTATTAAATATTGGATCGCCAGGCACTAATTACACCCTCTCTAGGTGTATGAAATTAAACTATGAATTCTTATACTGTACCGCGCTCCAATATTATCAACCTTTTGTGATTAACCTTTTTTGGTTGTGTGAATTTCTTAATATACCACTATAATCCAATCATTACTTACTTCTATGGTGCTTAAATATACAATTAACATATATTAATTTATAAATATGAATTAAAAAATTATATGTGATTATAACAAATATTAATAAAAAATTAATGAAAAATTGGAATGTCAATTCTATGTGAATAAAATAATAAAAAATTAATAAAACATTTAAAAAAAAAAAAAAAAAAAAAAAGGGAATGTCAATTATTTTCTTTAAATTTGAGATGGTGTTGTTATTCAATTTAGTTAATGTGATAAGTCTGTGTTGGCAGCTTGAACCTCTCCTCGTCTCCTCTCCTCTCTCCTCAGCTCAGCTTTCTCAATTGTGCTTTTCTTCACTGGCTGCTTTGTTTATTCCTCCATATACGGAACATGCAGAGAAGGGAAAAGAAAACATAGTGTCTTATCCGGGATATAAGTGATTTATTGCTCTTTGATCTCCCACTCACATTGTGTAAATGTAAATAACGCTTTGCATACAATGTATCAAGATCGTGCTTCAGACAGCCTGGCTGATGTGTTTGCTTGCAGTAAATATACTCGCTGTTCCTCTGTGGATGCGTGATAACGTCACCGCCCCTCCCCTTTTTTTTTTTTTTTTTTTTTTTTTTAAATGTTTTATTAATTTTTTATTATTTTATTTCACATAGAATTGACATTCCAATTTTTCATTAATTTTTTATTAATATTTGTTATAATCACATATAATTTTTTAATTCATATTTATAAATTAATTTATGTTAATTGTATATTTAAGCACCATAGAAGTAAGTAATGATTGGATTATAGGTGGTATATTAAGAAATTCACACAACCAAAAAAGGTTAATCACAAAAGGTTGATAATATTGGAGCGCGGTACAGTATAAGAATTCATAATAAAAAGCACCAACACTGTACTAATGGCACTGGGCAGGAAGGGGTAAACTTGTGGGGGGATCAAAGGGTTACCTGTGTGCTGTTTCTGTTTCACTGTAAGCATGCTGCTATGCAGAGCCATACAAAGCAATGTGCAGGAGCTGACAGGTGAGAGATCTGTGTTGTCTATACACAGGTCTCCCCCCTGTTGGAGATACTCGGCGATCACCGTCTGCCAGCAAGTAATCACCGTCTGGGACCCGGTGATTGACAGCCGAGGCTGCAAATGGCTGTGCTACCCAGAACTGCAAAATCACATATACAGTTGTGTTCAAAATATTAGCAGTCAGACATCACTAACCGGATCAATCACTGCTTTTGGTAGAAATGATATTTCTACATGGCAAATAATTTCCTAGCAGGTGTAGTAGAGTCATAGAAATCCAACAGACCCAACAGTCATGACATGCATGCTGCTGATTCTGTGTCATTGAATCACTCATTGAAAGGGGCGTGTTCAAAATAATAGCCGTGTGGAGTTCTATTAGTGAGGTCATTCATTCTTTGAGAAACAGGTGGCAATTATTGCCCTTATTTAAGGAAGGAAGGCAGCAAATGTTGGACATGCTGGTTACAGTGCTTTTCTCTCTGAAATTTGGAGGAAAATGGGTCGTTCCAGAAATTGTTCAGAAGAACAGCGTACCTTGATTAAAAAGTTGATTGGAGAGGGGAAAACATATAAAGAAGTGCAGAAAATGATCGGCTGCTCAGCTAAAATGATCACAAATGCTTTAAAATGGCAACCAAAACCTGAAAGACGCGGAAGAAAGCGAAAAAACTACCATTGGAATGGATAGAAGAATAGCCAAAATGGTGCGGACTCAGCCAACAATCAGCTCCAGGAAGATGAAAAGAAGGTGTGACGTTCCCTGTGAGGACTGTTACAATTAGAAGACGCCGATGTGAAGCCAAGCTATCTGCAAGAAGTCCCCGCAAAGTCCCACTGTTGGAAAAAAAAAAGACGTGTGCTGAAGAGGTTACAATCTGCCAAAGAGCACATTGACTGGCCTAAAGAGAAATGGCGCAACATTTTGTGGACGAATGAAAGTAAGATTGTTCTTTTTGGGTCTAGTGGGCGGAGACAGTTTGTCAGACGACCCCCAAACACTGAATTCAAGCCACAGTACACTGTGAAGACCGTGAAGCATGGTGGTGCAAGCATCATGATATGGGGATGTTTCTCATACTACGGTGTTGGGCCTATTTATCACATACCAGGGATCAGGGATCAGTTTGAATCCATCAGAATACTTGAAGAGGTCATGCTGCCTTATGCTGAAGAGGAAATGCCCTTGAAATGGGTGTTCCAACAAGACAACGACCCCAAACACACCAGTAAACGTGCAACATCTTGGTTCCAGACCAACAAGATGGACGTTATGGAGTGGCCAGCCCAATCCCCGGATCTTCATCTAATAGAAAACTTGTGGGGTGACATCAAAAATGCAGTTTCTGAGGCAAAACCAAGAAATAGAGAAGAACTGTGGAATGTGGTCCAATCATCCTGGGCTGGAATACCTGATCACAGGGGCCAGAAGTTGGGTGACTCCATGCAACACAGATGTACAGCAGTTCTCAGAAACAGTGCGACTACAACCAAATATTCATTAACCACCTTCCGACCACCCTATAGTATGACGGGCACAAGGTGGTTCTCTCGTTCTGATAGGACATCATATGACGTCCACCCATTCTCACTGCGAATGCGCGGTTCAGGGAGCGCACAGCGTGGCGATCGCCGGGGCACTGTGTCCCTTGAACACAGCGGATCACGATGATGTTGGCTCGGTCATGTGATCAGCTGTGTCCAATCACAGCTGATCACATGTAAACATAGAAATGCCGGTTATCGGCATTTCTCTCCTCTCGAGCTGTCACACTGACAGAGGAGAGGAGAGCCGGTAATCGGCAATCCTCGGAGGGGACATCTACACTGATCATCAAGGCACTGATGATCAGTGTGGCCCCAGAAGTGCCACCTGTCAGTGTCCATCAGTGCCAGCAGTCAGTGCTCATCAGTGTCACATGCCAGTGCCCATTAGTGCCACATCAATGCCACATATCAGTGCATACCAGTGCACACCAATGCCACATATCAGTGCCCATCTGAGCTGCCTTTCAATGTCACCCATCAGTGCCAGTCAGTGCCACCTATCAATGCCAATCAGTGCCACCTATCAGTGCCAGTCAATGTCGCCTATCAGTGCCGCCTATCAGTGCCAGTCAGTGCCGCCTATCAGTGCCAGTCAGTGCCGCCTATCAGTGCCAGTCAGTGCCGCCTAACAGTGCCAGTAAGTGCCGCCTATCAGTGCCAGTCAGTGCCGCCTAACAGTGCCAGTCAGTGCTGCCTATTAGTGCCAGTCAGTGCTGCCTATTATTGCTGCCTATCAGTGCCATATATCAGTGTCATGTATCAGTGCTGCCTTTCAGTGCCCATCAGTGATGCCTATCAATGCCCATCAGTGCAACCTACCAGTGCCTCCTCATCAGTGTCCATCAGTGCAGCCTATCAGTGCCCATCACTGCAGCCTCATTAGCTCACATCAGTGAAGGAGAAAAATCACTTATTTACAAAATTGTATAACAAAAACTAAAAAATAAAAATCCCCGAGGTGATTAAATACCACCAAAATAAAGCTCTATCTGTCTCAAAAAAATGATAAAAAGTTCATATGGGTACAGTGTTGCATGACCGCGCAATTGTCATTCAAAGTGTGACAGCGCTAAAAACTGGAAATTGGCCTGGGCAGGAAGGGGGTATAAGTGCCCTGTAGGCAGGGAGGGGGTAGAAGTGCCCTGTAGGCAGGAAGGGGGTAGAAGTGCCTGGTAGGCAGGAAGGGGGTAGAAGCGCCCGGTAGGCAGGAAGGGGGTAGAAGTGCCCGGTAGGCAGGAAGGGGGTAGAAGTGCCCGGTAGAAGTGCAGGCAGGAAGGGGGGTAGAAGCGCCCGGTAGGCAGGAAGGGGGTAGAAGTGCCCTAGGCAGGAAGGGGGTAGAAGTGCCCGGTAGGCAGGAAGGGGGTAGAAGTGCCCTGTAGGCAGGAAGGGGGTAGGCAGGCAGGAAGGGGGTAGAAGTGCCCGGTAGGCAAGTGTCCTGTAGGCAGGAAGGGGGTAGAAGTGTCCTGTAGGCAGGAAGGGGGTAGAAGAGCCCGGTAGGCAGGAAGGGGGTAGAAGCGCCTTGTAGGCAGGAAGGGGGTAGAAGTGCCCTGTAGGCAGGAAGGGGGTAGAAGTGCCCTGTAGGCAGGAAGGGGGTAGAAGTGCCCTGTAGGCAGGAAGGAGGTAGAAGTGCCCTGTAGGCAGGAAGGGGGTAGAAGCGCCCTGTAGGCAGGAAGGGGGTAGAAGTGTCCTGTAGGCAGAAAGGGGGTAGAAGTGCCCGGTAGGCAGGAAGGGGGTAGAAGCGCCCGGTAGGCAGGAAGGGGGTAGAAGTGCCCGGTAGGCAGGAAGGGGGTAGAAGTGCCCGGTAGGCAGGAAGGGGGTAGAAGTGCCCTGTAGGCAGGAAGGGGGTAAAAGTGCCCGGTAGGCAGGAAGGGGGTAGAAGCGCCCGGTAGGCAGGAAGGGGGTAGAAGTGCCCTGTAGGCAGGAAGGAGGTAGAAGTGCCCGGTGCGCATGAAGGGGGTAGAAGTGCCCTGTAGGCAGGAAGGGGGTAGAAGTGTCCTGTAGGCAGGAAGGGGGTAGAAGTGCCCTGTAGGCAGGAAGGGAAGGGGTAGAAGTGACCTGTAGGCAGGAAGGGGGTAGAAGTGCCCTGTAGGCAGGAAGGGGGTAGAAGTGCCCTGTGGGCAGGAAGGGGGTAGAAGTGCCCTGTAGGCGAGGGGTTAAGTGATTCAAAGGAAAGCAAAATCTTCAAACATTTCTCAGTTTATATAGTGAATGTTTGAGTTTGTAAAGAAGAATACAAACACTGCTATTTTTTTGAACCGTCTAATATTCACTTTTCTTCCATTTTTTTAGAGGAACAACACAAATTTGATGTATTTTTCTTCATGTTGTGATTTGGAATAGAATGTGTCGTGTTCCCAATGCATTTGTGTGGATGGAAATAAAAGCTATTAGAAGGATTTTCAGCTTTATTCACTTTTTTCAACACACTGCTATTATTTTGAACACAACTGTATATACATGATTGTGCGCTCCCGTTCCGAGCTGTAGCAGTATTTCTGCTATAGGGCGGCACGGAACCGGTTAACTACATTGGTAAAGTCTGCCGAGTCCAACATTCACTTACTAACAAATACAAACCGTACCGGAAATATCGGATATCTCTCCTTCCGGACACGGGACGCACTCATAGCAGCATTTATATATGGAAGAGCCAAACGTTTTTCTGCTGCCGGGTAAACAGGGATCTGAGCATCGAGATATCGGAACCTGAAATCAGAAATTATTATTATTATTATCATTATTATTATTATTATTATTAACTACTTCCATACCGGGCACTTTTACCCCCTTCCTGTCCAGGCCAATTTTCAGGTTTCAGCGCTCTCACACTTTGAATGACAATTGCGCGGTCATACAACATTGTACCCAAACTAAAATTTTATCATTGTCTTCACACAACTAGAGCTTTCTTTTGGTGGTATTTAATCATTATTTTTTTGCTAAATTAACAATAAAAAATCGAAAAGTTTGAAAAAAAAACACTTTTTCTTTGTTTCTGTTATAAAAGTTTGCAAATAAATAATTGTTCTTCATAAATTTAGGCCGAGATGTATTCTGCTACATGTCTTTGGTGAAAATAACCCAAATCAGTATTTATTATTTAGTCTGTAGGAAAGTTATAGAGTTCACAAACTATGGTATAGATCTGAAAATCGATCAATCCTGAAGTACTGACGGCCAATCTAATTTCTTGAGGTCCAAGAATGTCCGAACAGTACAGATATCCCCCAAATGTCAGGACAGTACAGTACCCCCAAATGTCAGGACAGTAGATAGTTAAAGAAAATAAATGACCCTCCAAAATTAAAAAAAAAATAAATGACTTGAGGTCTCCCCCAAATCCGTACCAGACCCTTATTTGCTTATTTCCTGACCAGACAGGGCAGGAAAGAGGGGGGGGGGGTGATTGACACCCCTCCAAACCACACCAGGGCACATGCCCTCAACATGGAGGGGTGCTTTGGTGCAGGGGGCTTCCCCCCACAAAGAGAACAGTATGATCTGGGTCTTAACTAGGACCAATCGTAATGCAAGCGGCTGTCAATAACCGTCTCCTGGCCGTAGTTTCCGGCGCCCAGTGATTACCGAGCATCTTCGAGGGGGAGAAAGATTGTTTTGTTTGCTAACAGTCCTCCTCCCTGTCAGCTGGGGCACACTGCACAGCACAGCCATCCAGAGAAGTGTGATTACAGTGAAGCACACACCACCACCCCCTAGTAATACACTCCCAGCACACAGTTAACCCTTTGATCATCCCAGATGTTAACCCCTTCCTGCCCAGGGCCATTAGTACAGTGTCAGTGCTTTTTATTAGCACTGATTGCTGTATTGGTATCACTGGGATGTCAGTGACACCAAGTTGGTTCCCCCCCAGTGTCAGAATGTCTGCCGCATTCCCGCTAAAAGTCACTGATTGTCGCCATTACTAGCAGAAAAAAAAAAATCTCAGTATCTATACAGCTATTTGTGAACGCTATAACTTTCATGTAAACCAATTAATTTACACGTATTGGGATTTTTTTAGCAAAGACACGGAGCAGAATACATATTGACCGAAATTTATGACGAAATTTGATTTTTTTTTTTTTTTTACTGGACATGTTTAATAACAAAAAGTCCAAAATCTTGTTTTTTTCCTCAAAATTGTTGGTCTTTTTTTGATTATAGCACAAAAAATAAAAACTGCACAGGTGATCAAATTCCACCAAAAGAAAGCTCAATTTGTGGGGAAAAAAGGATGTAAATTTAATTTGTGTGCAGCGTTGCATGACCGCGCAATTGTATGTTACAGTAATGCAGTGCCGTAACGCAAAAAATGGCCCTGGTCAGGAAGGGGGGGAAGCCTCTGCAGGGGGAGGGGTTAAATAGGTTAAAACACTCACAAGATGACAACAAACATCAGACGTATCAGATTAGTAGGTCCTTAGCTCGCTCCTTTAGCAGGGTCTGCCGCTGTCATCTGGGCTGGAAGATGGGAGAACAGAGCCGGGATGCCCTGTGTATATGAGGAAGTGCACCGGAACCCCCGTGTGGAATGCACGAGCAGAAGTGACATCCCCGAAAGGAGGTGAGGATCGGGACCAGGAAGGAGGAGAGGTTTGGCACCAGTAAGGAGACGAGAATCAGGACCAGGAAGGAGGCGAGGATGGGGACCAGGAAAGAGGCGATAATGGGAACCAGGAAGGAGGCGAGGATCGGGACCAGGAAGGAGGAGAGGATCGGGAACAGGAAGGAGACGAGAATCAGGACCAGGAAGGAGGCGGGATGGGGACCAAGAAAGAGGCGAGGATCAGGACCAGGAAGGAGGTGAGGAGGGATCGGGACAGGAAGGAGGCGATAATGGGAACCAGGAAGGAGGCGAGGATCGGGACCAGGAAGGAGGCGAGGATCGGGAACAGGAGGAGGCGAGGATCGGTACCAGGAAGGAGGCGAGGATCGGGAACAGGAAGGAGGCAAGGATCGGGACCAGGAAGGAGGAGAGGATCGGGAACAAGAAGAAGGCGAGGATCAGGACCAGGAAAGAGGTGAGGATCGGGACCAGGAAGGAGGCGATAATGGGAACCAGGAAGGAGGTGAGGATCGGGACCAGGAAGGAGGAGAGGATCGGGAACAGGAAGGAGACGAGAATCAGGACCAGGAATGAGGGGAGGATGGGGACCAGGAAAGAGGCGAGGATCAGGACCAGGAAGGAGGTGAGGATCGGGACCAGGAAGGAGGCGATAATGGGAACCAGGAAGGAGGCGAGGATCGGGACCAGGAAGGAGGCGAGGATCGGGACCAGGAAGGAGGAGAGGATCGGGAACAAGAAGGCGGCGAGGATCGGGAACAGGAAGGAGGCGAGGATCGGGACCAGGAAGGAGGAGAGGATCGGGAACAAGAAGGCGGCGAGGATCGGGAACAGGAAGGAGGCGAGGATTGAGACCAGGAAGGAGGAGAGGATCGGGAACAGGAAGGAGCCGAGGATCGGGAACAGGAAGGAGGCGAGGATCGGGACCAGGAAGGAGAAGAGGATCGGGAACAGGAAGGAGGCGAGGATCGGGACCAGGAAGGAGGCGAGGATCGGGACCAGGAAGGAGGAGAAGATCGGGAACAGGAAGGAGGCGAGGATGGGGACCAGGAAGGAGGTGAGGATTGGGACCAGGAAGGAGGTGAGGATTGGGGCCAGGAAGAAGGAGAGGATCTGGACCAGGAAAGAGGAGAGAATAGGGACCAGGAAGGAGGCGAGGACCGGGACCAGGAAGGAGGCAAGGATCGGGACCAGGAAGGAGGAGAGGATCGGGAACAGGAAGGAGACAAGAATCAGGACCAGGAAGGAGGCACGGATTGGGACCAGGAAGGAGGAGAGGATTGGGAACAGGAAGGAGGCAAGGATCGGGACCAGGAAGGAGGTGAGGATGGGGACCAGGAAGGAGGCGAGGATCGGGACCAGGAAGAAGGAGAGGATCTGGACCAGGAAAGAATAGGGACCAGGAAGGAGGTGAGGACCTATCCATTTATATTTCTTTTATACATTCCATGGATATCCTGAACTGCTTTGAGGGACCAATTGGATGTATTACTAATAATTTCCTGATTTTAATGCTGCTGTTTTCTGTAATAATTATATCCCGTGTCATACTGTATGTCAGAGATTTACAGACCTCATTTCCTTCTATGACAACTTTATGTCATAACACATACATACACAAAGTAGGAAATAGATCACTTATAGGATCACTTATAGGAAACTTTGCACAAAATGATGGCAGTTAACAACCTTCACCGACTCCAAGAATGACCCCTTTCATGAACAGACGTATCTGCTGCTATATCTTAAAACAAGGACACAAATTCCTAGAAATCCTAATTATGAACCTCCTCAGCAAATGATATGAACAGAAAACATTGAAGTCATTTCTTACGTTGCCATTTTTCCAGAAGATGTTACTCATATCAAACGTTTTGGGTACAAAATCCGGGTCTTGAAAAATGGAAATTTTGCTTTGAGGAAAAGATATATTGTTTAAATAAAGGCAGCTCTGTACAATAAGATCGGTTGGGATTTCTCTTCTCTCATTGAAGTAGATCTCGCCTCCGTCTGGGTCGGTGTAATGAAGATTTCTCACATATTTGAGCATGGAAGACAGAAATACTCACATTACTATATACAGGTATAAAGGTTCTGAAATTAAAGTCTAATTAAAAAATACAAAGTGGTTAGATCCAAGTTATTGTTATTATTATACAGGATTTATGGCGCCAACAGTTTGCTCAGCGCTGTACAATATAACGGGAGACAATACAGCAACAATACAGATCAATACAAGAGGGATAGGAGGGCCCTGATCCTGGGAGCTTACAATCTAGGAGGGAGGGGCTAGTGGTACAAAAGGTAATAACTGTGGGGGATGGGCTGGTCGGAGGAGTAGAAGATTCCATTATTAGCTGAGGGCAGGATAGGCTTCCCTGAAGAGAGAGGTTTTCAAAGATTGCCTAATCTCAGGGAGGGATTGGCAGAGAGGGGTGGAGGACACTGAGTGGAGGCCAGTGAAGGGATTGGCAGAGAGGGGTGGAGGACACTGAGTGGAGGTCATTGTCCTCCACCCCTCTCTGCCAAACCCACCACTGACCTCCACTCAGTGTCCTCCACCCCTCTCTGCCAATCCCTCCACTGGCCTCCATTCAGTGTCCTCCAGCCCTCTCTGACAATCCTTCCACTGACCTCCACTCAGTGCCCTCCACCCCTCTCTGCCAATCCCTCTGCTAACCTCTATTCAGTGTCCTCCACCCCTCTCTGCCAATCCCTCCACTGGCCTCCATTCAGTGTCCTTCTCCCCTCTCTGCCAATCCCTCCACTGACCTCCATTCAGTGTCCTCCACCCCTCTCTGTCAATCCCTCCACTGGCCTCCATTCAGTGTCCTTCTCCCCTCTCTACCAATCCCTCCACTGGCCTCCACTCGCCCATTGAATACAATTCAAAATACTAACAACAACTTACAAAGCCATCCACTACTCTGCCCCCAGCTACATCACCAACCTGGTCTCAAAATATCAACCAAACCGCTCTATTCGATCCTCCGAAGACCTTCTGCTCTCTAGTTCCTATGTCACCTCTTCCCATGCTCGCCTCCAGGACTTCTCCTGAGTTTCTCCCATCCTATGGAACTCCCTACCCCAATCTGTCCGGCTGTCTCCTAATCTATCCACCTTTAGACAATCCCTGAAAACCTCTCTCTTTAACCACTCCAAGTCCGGACATTTTCACACCTTTCCTGTCCAGGCCAATTTTCAGCTTTCAGCACTATCACACTTTGAATGACAATTGCGCGGTCATGCAACACTACCCAAATGAATTTTTTACCATTTTATTGAGACAGATAAAACTTTATTTAGGTGGTATTTATTCACCACTGGGATTTTTATTTTTTTTGCTATATAAATGAAAAAGTCCAAACATTTTGAAAAAAAAAAGTGTTTTTCTTACAAAATTTTTCAAATAAATAATCTTTCTTCATAAATCTTGGCCAAAATCTATTCAGCTATCTTTTTAGTAAAACAAAAATACCAAAATTAGTTTACAACCAAAAATTATAATTTTTCAAAACATTTTTTTACATTTTTATTTTTTTAATATTATTATTTAAGTTTTTTTTTCCAAACCGTCACCCTAGCAGTACAGTGTCACCATGGTGACACTGTACTACGTGTGGTGGGTGATGATGATTTTTTTTTAACACTCATTGCTTTTACACCTATAAAGGCTGTAAAAGCAATAATTTCTCCTTCTCTCTGGCTGCATTCTTGCAGCCATTGAGAAATACTGTGAGAGCTGTGATTGGTCACAGCTTGTCACATGGTACAAGGCTGTTGTGAATAGCCCTGTACCATGTGACCTCTATGATCATTCACAGATTTCACACGTAGTAAGCAATGATGTCAGAAGTCACATCTTACTTACTACTCTGCATGCGATCACTGATTGGCCATTCAGTGATCACATGATTGGGACCTCACACAGAGGTCCTGTACAATGATTGGTGTTCCACTATGTCCGGAGGACACAGCGGACACCGGATCGTGGTGCTGTGCACTCCCAGGGAGTGTGCACAGGCAGGGGCAGACTGAAAACTCATGGGTCCCCCAGGCAGTAGGGGATCATGGGGCCCCTGTGCCCTTGTCCACACTCAAGGCACACCCAAAAATGCCTATAAAGAGGTACCAGAGGCATTTCATGGGGCCCCCTACTGACCCCGGGCCCTCAGGCAGTGCCCAAGTGCTCAAATGGTTAGTCCGCACAGGCAGTGAATGCGGAGGTTGTTCGTAAACGGTCACCCACCCCTGCACTGCTCCCTTCTGGCCGTTTATGTACATGGGCTGGACTGGAAGTGGTTAAAGAAGAAATATTGATTTATGGACACAAATTTTGGCACTTTTTTTTATTTATTTATATAAATTATTGGACTTTATGTTGGACACTTATTCACATATTTTTTTCACTGATTGAAAAATATTTTTTTTTTATTGAATTTGTATTGATTTATGCGTCATTCATTTTTCATGATTTGGCATAAATTTTCTGTGTTCACTCGTTTAGAGATATATCACTTTGAAGAGCGCTGCCTTTTTTGTCTCTTGATAAGCAGGATGGTGACTCTGGATTTTTGCATGAAGAGTGATATCAGATTCCATTCTCCACCATCAAAGACTTCACTGTATATGTGCTAATTCCCAGGAAAATTCAGGCGTTTTGTTCTTTTACCATACTTGTTTCCAAAATTTTGTCCAACCCATATATATACCGTATTTTTCGCTCTATAAGACGCACTTTTTTACCGCCAAAAAAAATGGGGAAAATGTCTATGCGTCTCTTATGGAGTGAATATGGAGTGTCCGGCCTGGTATTCCCCCCATCGCAGCCGTGTTAGAATACCGGGTCGGTCGCTCGACTCTTCTGTGCAGCAGATCCTGCTCCTCGGTCCAGCTGTGTCCTCCTCACCTCATCATCTTCAGTGTGGGCACCCGGCTGTTACAGCTTGCGGCTTCACAGCCGGGTGCCCACTGCGCGTGTGCGAGAGACGCTGCACTTTGTGAATGGTCCTGTACGGGGAGAGGAGTGATTGCAGCAGAATTGGGAGCAGGTACCTGTCAAATTCGGGTACCCGCTCCCCAAAGGTCTGCAGTCTCTGGTCATCTCCTGTCTCCTGTGCTGTGTCCGCAGTCTCTGGGTCATCTCCTGTACTGTGTCCGCAGTCTCTGGTCATCTCCTGTACTATGTCCGCAGTCTCTGGTCATCTCCTGTACCGTGTCCGCAGTCTCTGGTCATCTCCTGTACTATGTCCGCAGTCTCTGGTCATCTCCTGTACTGTGTCCGCAGTCTCTGGTCATCTCTTGTACCGTGTCCGCAGTCTCTGGTCATCCCCTGTACCGTGTTCGCAGTCTCTGGTCATCTCCTGTACCGTGTCCACAGTCTCTGGTCATCTCCTGTACCGTGTTCGCAGTCTCTGGTCATCTCCTGTACCGTGTCCGCAGTCTTCGGTCATCTCCTGTACTATGTCCGCAGTCTCTGGTCATCTCCTGTACTGTGTCTGCAGTCTCTGGTCATCCCCTGTACTGTGTCCGCAGTCTCTGGTCATCTCCTGTACTGTCTGCAGTCTCTGGTCATCTCCTGTACTGTGTCCGCAGTCTCTGGTCATCTCCTGTACTGTGTCTGCAGTCTCTGGTCATCTCCTGTACTGTGTCCGCAGTCTCTGGTCATCTGTACTGTGTCCGCAGTCTCTGGTCATCTCCTGTACTGTGTCCGCAGTCTCTGGTCATCCCTGTACTGTGTCCGCAGTCTCTGGTCATCTCCTGTACTGTGTCCGCAGTCTCTGGTCAGCTCCTGTACTGTGTCCGCAGTCTCTGGTCATCTCCTGTACTGTGTCCGCAGTCTCTGGTCATCTGTACTGTGTCCGCAGTCTCTGGTCATCTCCTGTACTGTGTCCGCAGTCTCTGGTCATCTCCTGTACTATGTCTGCAGTCTCTGGTCATCTCCTGTACTGTGTCCGCAGTCTCTGGTCATCTCCTGTACTGTGTCCGCAGTCTCTGGTCATCTCCTGTACTATGTCCGCAGTCTCTGGTCATCCCCTGTAGTATGTCCGCAGTCTCTGGTCATCTCCTGTACTGTGTCCGCAGTCTCTGGTCATCTCCTGTAGTATGTCCGCAGTCTCTGGTCATCTCCTGTACTGTGTCCGCAATCTCTGGTCATCTCCTGTACTGTCCGCAGTTCCTTGGTTCAGAATATTTTTTTTCTTGTCTCCTTCCTCTAAAACCTAAGTGCATCTTATGGAATGAAAAATACGATATATGAAATGTATATCAATTATATATGAATCTGGACTATTTTGAATGTGTCTCTTAACATGGCATATACAATTAGTAAAAAAAATCCCCCCCTTTTTAAAAGCCAACCATTTATTTAATTATATTTAAAAACTGTATGGGAGAAACAAACATTCTATTGACTGCAACTTTCCAGACAGTGAGAGGGAGGTCGGAGATCGCTGTCCATCTCACTTTGGTCACAAAATTATTATGTAATCTGGGATAGGATCGTAGTAACAGCAGAGGTATATTTATTATTATTATACAGTATTTATAAAGCTCCAATAGTTCGCTCAGCACTGTACATTACAGAGGGGGACAGAACATGTGACAGAACAATACCAACAATGCAAAACATGAGGGGATTGAGGGCCCTGCTCTTTGGAGCTTACAATCTAGGAGGGAGGGGATAGTGGTACAGGAGGAGATAGCTGTGGGGGATGGAGTGGTAGGAAGAGTGGAGGAGGTCGGCTAGTTAGCAGGGGGTGGGGTATGCTTCCCTGAAGAGATGGGTTTTCAGGGTGCGCCTAAAGGAGAGAAGAGTAGGTGATAATCTGATGGGTTGGGGCAGGGAGTTCCAGAGGATGGGTGACACCCTGGAGAAGTCCTGGAGGCAGGCATGGAAGGAGGAGACCAGGGAACTAGAGAGAAGGAGGTCTTGTGAGGAGCGGAGTGTGCGTGTTGGGTGGTACTTGGATATTAGGTCGGTGATGTAGTTCGGGGCAGTATGGTGGACGGCTTTGTATGTCAGTGTTAGGATTTTGAATTTGATCCGTTGTGCAATCGGAAGCCAGTGGAGGGATTGGCAGAGGGGGGTGGAGGACACTGAGTGGAGGCCAGTGGAGGGATTGGCAGAGGGGGGTGGCGGAGATGGAGTGGTTGGAAAGGTGAATGAGTCTGGCAGCCGTATTCAGGATGGACTGAAGCAGGGATAGCCAGCGGCGAGGCAGGCCAGTGAGGAGGGAGTTTCAGTAGTCGAGTCGTGATATGATGATGAGGGAGTGGATGAGCTGTTTAGTGGTTTCTGGGGTTAGGAACGTGCGGATTTTGGAGATGTTGCGGAGGTGGAGTCTGCATGAGTTTGTTAAAGATTGGACTTGGGGCTGGAAGGATAGGTTGGAGTCGAGAATGACACCAAGTACTCTGGCCTGCGGGGCGGGTTTGATGGTGGGGATGTGATGGAGAAGTCAATGGGCGGTGGTGTCCGGGCTGGGGGGAAGACAAGAAACTCGGTTTTGGAGAGGTTCAGTTTGAGGAAGTGGAGTGACATCCAGTCTGATATGTCGCTCAGTAGGTGTGTGATTCGGGCGGAGACCGAGGGGGTGAGGTGGGGGGTTGAGAGATAGATTTGTGTGTCGTTGGCATAGAGTTGGTAGTTGAAGCCGTGAGAGTGTATGAGTTGGCCAAGGGAGGAGGTGTAGATGGAGAAGAGAAGGGGCCCGAGGACAGAGCCTTGAGAGACCCCAACAGAGAGGGGGAGGTGGTAGCATTATAGGTAACACTGAAAGAGCGTTGTGACAGGTAGGAAGAGAGCCAGGAGAGAACAGAATCTCTGAGGACGAGGGAGTGTAGTTTTTTGAGGAGGAGGGGGTGGTCAACTGCGTCGAAGGCCGCAGAGAGGTCAAGGAGTAGGAGCACTGAATAGTGGCCATTAGCTTTGGCGGTTAGCAGGTCGTTGGAGAGTTTGAGTAAGGCAGTTTTGGTGGAGTGTAGGGGACGGAAGCCAGACTGTAGGGGATCGAGGAGGTTGTTGTCATTGAGGTGAGAGCTTAGGTGGGTGTAGACTAGGCGCTCGAGGAGTTTAGATGTAAATGGGAGCAGGGAGATGGGTCTGAGGTTGTTCGGGTCATTGGGGTCCAGGGAGGGCTTTTTAAGTATGGGGGTGATGTGTGCATGTTTCAGAGGGGAGGGGAAAGTGCCGGAGGAGAAGGAGAGATTAAAGATGTGGGTGAGGGAGCGTAGGATGGAGGGGGAGGGAGGTCGTAGGAGTTTTGAGGGGATAGGCTCGAGGGGACAGGTGGTGAGGCGGGCATCAGAGAGGATCTTGGAGACTTCCTCGATGGTAGTAAGGTCAAAGGTGTGGAGTGTTGGGGGGCTTCAGTATGAGGAATGTAGGGTGGGGTGGAAGTGGAGGTCAGAGCAGTGGTGGGGCCATGGGAGAGGGGTGATGAGGGGGAACAGGGTTGGAGGGAGTTTGAGCAGCGACGAAGTCCCTGCGGGTTATGTCGAGGGAGAGGGGGGATGAGGGGGTAGCTGTGTGAGAGGGGACGGGTTGAGAGGGAGTGTGAGTTGCGGCGATGTCCTTGCGAATTGTGTCAATCTTGTTTTTGAAGTGATTGGCAATCTCAAGGGCAGTGAGTGAGGTGCTGGGTGGAGGTGGGGGTGGCGAGAGTAGAGAGTTGAAGGTGGAGAAGAGTCGGCGAGTATTGGAGGAGAGGGCCTTGATAAGGGTCAGGAAGTAAGCTTGTTTGGCTGCGTGGAGGGAGGAGGTGTAGGTGTGGAAGGCAGATTTGTAGCGGGTGAAGGCTTGTTGGGATTTGGTTTTGCGGCATAGTCGCTCCAGGGCATGACTGCGTCGTTTGAGGGTTTTGGTGTGATCAGTCTGCCAGGGCTGGAGCGGTCGGGGTCTGATGTTGCGTGTGTTTAAAGGCACTAGTGAGTCAAGGGCTGTTGACAGCGCGTTGTTGTAGGCAGTCATAGCCAAGTCGGGGCAGGACAGGGGGAGGATGCTGTCGTGGAGTTGATCAGCTGCAGAGTGGAGGGGGGCAGGGTTAAGGTTGCGGAGGTTACGGCTGGTAATAGTGTGACATTTGGAGGGGTAGGCGTTGAAGGACGAGGAGATAGGGAAGGTAATCAAGTTGTGGTCAGAGAGAGGGAAGGGGGTGTTAGTGAGGTTGTGGGGAGCGCAGCGGTTGGAGAAGACGAGATCAAGGATATTACCGTGGGTAGTGGATTGTATGCACTGTGCAAGTGCAAAGGAGGAGGTTAGGTGGAGGAGATAGGATGTGTCTGGGTTGTCAAGGTTGATAGGGATGTTGAAATCCCCAAGGATGATGGTGGGTAGCTCAGAGGAGAGGAAGAAGGGTAGCCAGGAGGAGAAGTCATCCAGAAAGCGGGATATGGATCCAGGAGGCCGGTATATCACAGCAATCTTCAGGGGAGTTGGGGAGAATAGTCGGATGCAGTGGGTCTCGAAGGAGGAGAAGGATAGGGAAGGGGGGTTTGGGAGGACTCGGAAGGTGCTCTGCGGTGAGAGGAGCAGACCAACCCCACCACCTTTACGACCGTCAGGTCTGGGTGAATGGGTCCAGGTGAGACCTCCATAGGAGAGTGCAGCAGGGGAGGTAGAGTCAGTGGGCTGGATCCAGGTTTCCGTGATCGCTAGGAGGTTGAGGGAGCGGGAAACAAAGAGGTCATGGATGGGGGGTAAGCTTGTTGCACACCGATCGGGCGTTCAGGAGTGCACATGAAAACGGGGGGAGATTTTAGGGAGCAGGGGGACAGATACTAAGTTACGGGGGTTGCGGCGGGACGTGGAGGCGGGGGTGGGTGTTGTGCGGGTGAGGGAGGTGGTGGAGGGCCAGGATTTGGGGAGATGTCCCCCGCGTTTAGTAGGAGGAAGGGTGAGAAAGGTGGCATGGGAGCGGGATGTGCAGGAGCGTGAGAAACTACTAGTGGAGGTGTTTGGGTCAGTGGGAGAGTGGAGTAAAAGGAGGAGGTGGTGGGTGCCGTAGAGGGGTGAAGGAAGCAGTGAGGACACAATATACAAATGTCTGGGAGGAGCAGAGGGATATAGTGAATGGATTTTGGGAACAGAGGAAAGGAAAATGAGAAGGAGGAGTGGAAGACGCATTTTGGGGAGGTGGTGAGAGCAGTAGTAGGGAGATGATAGCAATGAGGGGAAGATGTACAAGTTTTGGGGTGGAGCAGGGGGGAAAGAAATGAGATTTGGGTTTTGTACTGCCCAAGGTAACACAAAAATTGGACACCCCCCCCCTCTCCCGGAGGAGAGAGCCTGCCACCAACCAACACCAGACCCCCCCCACGGAGAGAGCCTGACAGTGACTAACAACACACCTGCCCCATCCCCAGAAAAAGACACTCACCTTCACAGCTCTGGACATCTCCTCCCATGGAGAGAGCCTGATGGTGACCAACAACACCCCTGCCCCATCCCCAGAAAAAGACACTCACCTTCACAGCTCTGGACATCCCCCCCATGGAGAGAGCCTGATGGTGACCAACAACACCCCTGCCCCACCCC